AAACCCTAAACCCCCAAACCTCAACCCTACACCCCTAAACCCAAAACCAATCTCAGGCTCGGGCTCGGCCCCTTTGATGGCATGCTCTTTGCCTTGAAACAATCACCGGTTTGCTAACCAAAACAAGGAGTTTATACAATGGAGACCAGAGGTGGACTTCAAGGCTTTCAGGCTTCAGGCTTTACGCCTACTGCTTCTGGTTCTGGTCCTAGTTTAAAGGCTTTGAGATTTAGGGTCTAGAGCTGACTCCTTCCATGATTCAGGTTTTTATTGCTTAGGGGTTCTCTTAGGGTTTGGGGGTTTAGGGTTTAGGATTTAGAGTTTAGGGTTTAGGGCGTCTACCCGCACCTGCCAAACCACTGCTATCATCCCGTCAACCCTGCAAGAAGCAATAGGCCTAATCAGCAAAGGCAGTGCAACCCTATTTTGATTGCAACACTACACAAAAACTTGTCGTGAACAACGCTGTATAAACCTACACAAACACCTAGTTTAAGAACCAAAAAGCAGCTGTAAGACTGGACAAGGTAACCTATCAAGCCTAGTGGGTTAAGGCTCTTCGGGTATCCTCAAGCGCTCTTAGCACCGTATTCAAAAGAGGGCTTCGGATGACGGCTTGTAGGGCTTTAGGGTTTTAGGGTTTTAGGGTTTAGGGTTTAGGGTTTAGGGTTTAGGGTTTAGGGTTTAGGGTTTATGTGATGAGCTAGTTGAAGTCATGGCATCATCTCCTCGATCGCCTTGCGGATGTGCTTTGGCATACGCTGACGCCTACCTAGACCACAAAACGCGGTACCCTTGCCATATAAAATAGATACTACATCCAAGGGCCCGTAGAACCCTGCACAGCTCCATATTCAACTCTACAGGACCCTCTCCAGTCCTAGAACCTTTGCCGTGCCTGCCAGGACGATCTCTCGCTTGTGCGCCGGCGTCTCCTGGACATGTGCTTGCGCAGCTTCCCTTGCGGGAACATAAACGGTTGCAAACGGTTTAGGGTTTAGAGACAGGGTCTAGGGTTTGGGGTTTAGGGCGGCGTTATAGGGTTTCAAAGGGTTCTGAATTGGGCTTTACAGAGGGTGCAGGGTTGAGGGTCTAGGGTTTAGGATTAGAAGACCTTGACAGGTCTTATTGGGGGAGGTCTCAACACCAGTATTGGAGAGTGTACCTTGCTTCTGAAGTTCTCATATGGTTGAATACATAACAATGAATGCGTATGGGTTTTAGGGATTGGAATTTCTGAATCAGGGGTTATGTTGCTGGAACAGAAACAGTTGCATCACTATGTCGAGCTAAGCATGCATCGCAGCAACAAGCTGCGGATTCGTACCCTAAATCCTCAACACCTGGGACCGAAATCCTAAACCCCTATTAAGCTCTAAACACACCTTCGTATCCTAAGCCCTAACGATTTCAACAGATGCCACCTCTTCTGACCAGCCGTGACATAGGCTCTGGAAGCAATCCGAGCTTAATATAGAAGCCTTAAGAATTACCAATCTTATTCCTTAGGGTTCATTACTATAGTATAGTATAATGGGCCCCAAAGCCCTATTCTAATTATTCAGGCCCCCATCTTTTATCGCTTGCAGAAAATGCATCCACGCCGTCGTGGAGGACTGCTCCGAGCCCTTTCAACAATGTGCGAGCCGCAAGTCTAAACCCTAAACCACTAAACCCCCCAACCCCTAAACCCTGAACCCCTGAACCCCTAAACCCCTAAACCCCTACACCCCTAAACCCCTAAACCTCTAAACCCCTAAACCCTACGTGCTTGGCATTGCGGAGTCGGGATGACGGGCCGTAATAACCAGAATAGGGTTTTGGGGGTTTCTTTAAAGGGTTCTTTAAAGTGCTCTATAAGGGCTACTATAAGGGTTCCGTTTAGGGTTAAGGAGCCTTGATAATTAGAATAGGGTTTTCAGGTATATTATACTATAACTAGTTATAGAAAGGAACCCCCAGCACAGCATATGTGAACACAGCATGATTGAGGCGAGCAGCAACTGTCGGGGCTTACGGGAATTGCGAGGGTTTACGGTTGAGTGGTTTAGGATTGAAAGAGCTTGTGGTTTACGGTTTGGCTACTATAGGGGGAGACGACCAATTTGTCCGCAGATGCTAGAGGCTATGTCCGACCACAAGCCCAGAGCGCCCGCGTTTTCTGGCGTCTCGCGCCATCGCGGCATGTTTGGGGCGAGGAACACGCCACGAGTGCCCACGAGGTCGTTGCCCATCCAGATAATGCAGACGTCGACGTGAAGCTCCATCGGTCTTGTTGATCCGGTCACGACCTCCGTGACTAGCTCGTGGACGCGATCCACGATTGGGCCCAGTGAGGCTCCCCAGATAGGTGGTAGTGCCCCAACATCGTGCCCTTTTGCATCCCCTCAATGTCCTTGGTGAAGTCTGTCCATGTGCATTTGCCCGCCATGAAGACGGTGGTCGAGTCAGATACGACAATGAGAGCTTTCTCACTGGGGCCCAATATACTATACTTATAATAAGGAACCCCCAAAATTGTATTGGTATTAGGCTTCTATACTACAAGCAAAGGGCTGCAACTGTCATCTGCCAGAAGCTGCAGGGCGGAACACCCGACACCTCATGGGAAGGATAGATTTAATAGAGAAGCCTAAAAATCTACCAATACTGGTTTAGGGGTTCCTTATTAAAAGTATAGTATTATGGGCCGCAAAACCCTATTCTAATTATTAAGGCCCCTATATTAGAATCTCGAGGAACACAGAGACAGCAGAGCGACAGTCGCAGAGGAGAACCTACTGGCCGCAAATGCTACCACGACCATGTGGGTCACCCAAGCCCTGCAGACCCTAAGCCCTAAACCCTTGTAGGAACCCTTGAAGGGAACCTTAAGCACTACTGTTGATGATGTACATCCTTCATTACCTTAAGGACCCCAAAATATGTGAATTAGGGTATGTTCCTTACATGGGTAACCCTAAACCCCTAAACCCTAAATCCTTAAACCCTATATTCCGTATTATGGGTAATGCAGGATTCATATCATCAACCCTAAGCACCATGAACCTTTTAAGTGGGGCCTAGGGATAAGGATTAGGGCGGGCCCCGGGACCTACCCTCACCTGCCAAAACCTACTTGTAGGGTCCGAAGGAATTAACGTTTCGGGTTTTGGGTTTAGGGTTTAGGGTCTGAAATAACCCTAAACGCTAAACAGGACAGCCGACGGCTCTCTCAATCAACAGTGATTATCACCCCAGTGAAAGTCCCAAGTAAACTCTTAACCCTCAAGCTGTACAGCTGCAGCAAGCGTCTTGCCTTAGGCTCAGCAGGGACGACCGCCAGCGAAGACTTGACCTCTTGAGCTTTTGATTTTTAGGGTTTACAGTTCTTTACGAGGGTGTTTCACGACGGGATTTGTAATTTGTGTTCAAGAGACTCAAGATTTAACTCTAAAAACTAAACCCTAAACTGTTCTACAGGCTTATGGAATTGGTCTTCTGTGGGGGTTTCTGGCTTTGTAGAGCCATTGTAGAGTGTGGGACTTTGCTTCGGCCATCGGGCTTCAAACTTATGTGAAGTGGGGGCTCTCAGGGTTTAGGGTTTAGGGTTTAGGGTTTAGGGTTTAGGGTCATGGGGTCTTTCAGACTTTCTACTTGTAGTTAAGGGGTAAGGGTTTAAGGTTTGTAGCTTAGGGCTTAGGGTTATTCAGGGCTCAGAGTAATTATTGCAAAAAACCCTGAGTCCTAAACTGTGGACTCCAAACTTTAAACCCAAAGCAAAGGACCCCTAGAGTGGGCCCATTGTCAATCACCAGGGCAGCAGCCAATATCATCACGATCAATCCGCTGCTGCAGCAAATGACCCGCTCGCTCAATGTGTCAGGGGTCAGCGTTGGGGTTTAGGCGCGCGCTGCCGAAACCTGAACCCTTAACCCTAAACCCTAAACCCTAAACCCTAAATCCTAAATCCTCAACCCTCAACCCCAAATTATGCGGCTGCACTCCCTGGAGCCTGTGATGAGTCTCCCAGATCCACATGAGGTTGCGGCCCTCTTCCAGAACCCTCCGTATCCTGACTTGACGCTTGGGCGCCGCGCTCCCTGAGGCCTTGAACGCGCTCACGACATCCCTGAGCCTTGCTTCCATGGTCTTGCCCGGTGCAGGTTCTCGCTCCATCACTGTCGAGAAGCGCCATGCCATGCTAAAGACTCCCGGCGCTTGTCTTTCAGCCCCGCGGAAGGAGAGCCCCATGTTGCGGTAGGATTGCTGAACCACATCCATCCCCAAACTCCAACTTGGTTGCTTCTAGAGGCCAGCGTGTATCAGATCGAGAACGATTGGAGTCTATGGTCTCAGGAGCGATGGCAAACGGATTTTGCGTCGCGAAGTGTATGTTTCCGATCAGAACGCAGCTAGATGGCACTGATGTCTATTCTGCAGGATCTAAAGCGGAATCCATTGCTGCTCATATCATGTCCAAACAGCACAAAAGCTGCATCGTTTACTGGCTCGGCAGCGCCAGACACCGTCTGCCACGGATTCGACGCTCCCGTCAGGGTCCGGCTGGAGATCGCAGCAAAGGACCAAAGCAAGATTGTGTATCGTAGCATTTTTAAGTACCTCCTAAACCGTCCTGGACTCTGCTAAACCCTACAACACCCTCATGGAATCTCGTAATTCACAACCTTATGAAACCCAACAAAACTCTTAGGACACCCTTTAACACTTTATGACCAAAACCTATGCCAACCCTCCAAAAACACATATGCACAACTGCAAAGCCGCGTACACCCATTGCAAACCCTTTCAAAAGCCCAAACACCCCGAAAAGCTCAAAAACCCTCCGCATCCCTTGTAAAGCCCCAGAATCCTAGACTCTCCAGCGATTTCAAAACAACAAAAACGGACATCCCTTGTAAAGCCCCAGAATCCTAGACTCTCCAGCGATTTCAAAACAACAAAAACGGACATCTGCAGGACGGTCCCCGGGCGAACGGACATCTGCAGGACGGTCCCCGGGCCTGTTGTGCCACTTGGTCCGCGCGACGGTGGCAGTGAAGCCGGTGCGTAGCCCAGTCCTGTTGGGTTTAGGGTTTGGGGTTCCAGGTTTGGGTTTAAAAACGTAGGACGGAGGCGTCTAAGTTCAATTGCTTTAAGCCTGTTGCTGTGGTCGCAGTGTTTGACCATTTATCTCGGGGGTTCAGGGTTACGGGTAGGTTTGAGGGGTTACAGGATAATGTGGGGGCCTTAAGAATTAGAATAAGGTTTGAGGGCTCCTTATTATAACTATAGTATAATATACACCCAAACCCTATTCTCATCCTGGGAAGCTCCACACCCTGACCTGTAAAAGTTTGCTTTTAGGGTTAATGGTTTAGGGTAGGGTTTATGGTTTAGGGTAGGGTTTAGGGTTTAGGGTTTGGGGTTTAGGGTTTAGGGTAGGGAGTGGGTAGGGTTTAGAGTGTAGGTTTTAGGGTTTAGGGTAGGGTCATATAAGTACCTGGAGCTAGAAACAAAAACACTGACAAGTAAACACTTTCGGTACGTTCATTGCAGCCCACACACGGCAACTACGCGTGAACTGCCATGTAAGTTAGTTGGACCCCGCCTCAAAATCTGAGCCTCCACCATCTATAGAGAACCCAGGGTTTAGGGTTTAGGGTTGAGGGGCCAGAGCAGTAATTATCTCAAACTGCCCTAACCTGCTTCTTAGGCGCTTATTACATAAACCGTAGTCTAGGATTCCCAGAGACTCCAATATCCCTTCATTAAGGATTATACCTTAAATTATACTAGGATCCCGAGCATGATTCCAGGTAAGGGATATTGGAGTCTCTGGGTTTATAGGGATTCTAGAAGAAAGGTCCCTAAACCCTAAACCCTAAACCCTAAACTCTACAGTTCCAGGCACATTGAAGACTTAAGAAGCTTTGGGTCGCTGTGGGAACCCCATGAAACTCCCGCTCCCCAAAGCTTAATTCAGGGCATTAGGGCATTAGGGTTTAGGGTTTAGGGGACCCCTGCACCCCGCCTGTAAGCCCTGAACTAGAGTCTACACCCGCTCCAAACCACAAACCCCAAACCCTAAGCCCAAGTCTGAATCCCAAGCCCGGAACCTTTTGACTAATTTGGGGGGGGGGTTCGGGATAACTTAGTACTGTAGTAATATCCCTTCACCGACTGCCCTAAACCATGAACCGTCTAAGCCCCAAGCCCCAAACCCTAAACCCTAAGCCCGAAGCCCTAAGCCCTAAACCCACAGCCCTAAACCCTACACCCTAAACCCCAAACCCTATACCCTAAACCCTAAGCCCTAAACCCTAAACACCGAAGGTCCCCCTTTCCACCAGTCACGAGCCTTCTGCTGACAGTTCACGGAGCAGTAGAAGACTTCCTGGTTTCAGGGTGTACTTGGAGTTTCAAGGGATGTACCTGCTAAGGTTATAAATGAGGTTTAGTATCTAGGATTTAAGGAGGTAACTATTATAACCCCAGTTAGGGTATTTATAACTGTACTTACTAAGTCTCATGAACCTCCAAGTAGGCCTTCGCATTTCCGGTTTTCCCGCCGGGGAGAAGTTTTCCAGCAAATGTTGTACAAGAGTTGGAACTGCCCAGAACCCTAAACACTAAAACCGTTTCGGCTGTATTATAGTTCATGCGAGTCTACAGGCATGATACAAAGCTCCAAAATGAATACCCACGAGTTGTTGCTGAGCTCCCTTGCTCAAAAAAGGAGCCAACAAGTTTGACTACTCCGCCCCTCAGTGTTGAAACTGAACCCCTCAAGCCCCTACAGTTTTGAAGCCCTAAACCCCTAAACCCTAACCCTAAAACCCTAAACCTTAAACCAGTGCCTCCAACCCTACAAACCTGACCCAACCCCGAAGATACTTGAAACCCCGAACCGGTAAAGGACCTGCTATAGGGGCCTTCACAATTAATATGGTTTTGGGGTAAGTTGTTCTATAATGACAATGAGGAACGCCCAAAATAATATAGGTACGTAATTATTTAGGCCCCTATATTAACCCTTGAAGCCCCTTCAAAAACCTGATTTAACCCCAAATCGAAACCCCAAACCCTCCAAGCCAAGAGGCCCTTAAACACTGAACCCCAAAACCCCTCCCGGAACCCCTCGTTGCACCCTTGGGTTCAGGGTTTATGCTGAGGGTTTAGGGTATCTTCACTAAACCACCTCTTAAACCCTAAACCCCTAAACCCCTAAGCCCTAAACCCTAAAACCCCTAAACCGCAGAGACCCTGAGGTAGCAACCTCGCAGCCGGAGCAGCAAAGGACTGTCGGGCC